TCCTTTACACTAAAGCTCATTTTGAATACCATGGGTTTTCTCCAGTATGCAAATGGAATTTTAGGACAACATTGGGATCCCTGCCCAAAACTGGAGCACCTTTCATACTCTAGATATCCTTCCCTCTGATGAAATATTAATACACTTCTTGTGTGATGGGATTTGCACTAGTTCACATTGCTGCTGACTACACCCCCTTTATACAGCCCTGTCTCTCCACTCTCTTAGCATCCAAACCAAAAACAGCTGATGGTTCATTTATCTCTCACCAGCTGTCTAGCTGTCAATCCATTTCTGCTCGATTAACACAATTAACACAGATAACTGTTCTGCCCACAAATTTAAAATGCAGCAGGAAAACTAGGCTACATATCTGGTAAAAGTTGGTTTAATAATTATGCCAAAGAAATGTGGAATTCTCAAAAACCTCAACATTTTTCTACTTACAAAATAGAGATAAATACAGTAAGAAATAATAATAATAAGAAGAAAATAGAGATAAATAGCAAATCATAGTGACTGCAACTGGTTAAGGCTAGCTGCAATGCTAAGTTAATGACTTTTTCTAACCTATCTCCTGTCATTGAATAGAAAAAACACTTTAAATGTTCTCACATAATAATAAATTCACTCTACCAAGTAGGGCAGTAACAAACGGAGAATAAAAGTGACAGCAGATAAACTAGTTCTTCCAAAAGCCTACCAGACTACTAGACCAGGCTGTGACCTTTAGACTGATGATAAAATGTTCAGAACTGTTTTTCACTTTCCATACTTCAAACTGTTCTCCATAATGTTCTTTATAACCCTCACAAAAGATGTTGCAAACAGCTAGATAGCCTGGACTGACATCAAAGTTTGCTGAGGGTGTGCCGCCTGTGCTCTCACAGTCTTGTACTAAAAGCACACCCACTGATGCCTGATGGGACCTTCAGGCTAAGCATGAGACACCTGAAATGAAATGAGATCATTGTTTTAAAAATGACTAAACTGATTTTCATAACTGGAGATAAGCTCACTCACACCTACATGAACATGCATGTACATGTCATGTATTAGCAAACCTGTCTCCCAGTACTTTTTTATGCCTTTCACAGCAGCAATAGCAGCAGCCAGGGCCATCGTTTCCCACCTGTCTGTCCAATTGTCCGATTGGCCGATTGTTGTGAAAGTGATATGTCAGGAACAGGGGAAATTTCTTCAAATTTGGCACAAATGTCCACTTGGAATCAAGGATGAACTGATTAGATTTTGGTGGTCAAAGGTCAAAGGCCAGTGAGCTGACTTCTCTCCCATACCCAGATTTTAAGTATTGCTTACATACAAGTCACAAATGTGTGCATCATACACTCATGACTGTATCTTAGCTGATATAAAAATTTGTCACGCATTGTGAAGGGTGTAAATACCGTACATGTCCTTGCATGGCTCACGTGACAGCTGCCTCAGGACTCGGTTTACATTCCCAGTCGCATTGTGAAGGGTGTAAATACAGTACATGTCCTTGCACGGCTCACGTGACAGCTGCCTCAGGACTCAATTTGTGTGTGCCATGTGTATGTGCATACGTGTGTGTTTCCTGAGTTCTGACCTCAGTGTATCAGGGCAAGAGACTGAAATTACCTGTCAGAACAAACCACTACCTTCACACCTTTTCCTGACATGCTCACACAGACACACACAAACACACAATGAGTGATAAATATGTGCTAAAGTCTTTAAAGGCACATTGTTCACCACAGCAAGGTGAGCAGTTCACTTTAAATCTGTCACAACAAAACCTTAGGCAGGGATTGTTTCTAACACACACACACACACATACAAACCCACACACATGCACACACCGTATTTTATATGGAGCGCAAGTTGTCACTTGGTCTGATTGCGGCACTGACCAGCGCTCTTAGTTGGTCATTTGTCTCCTGTTTTTATTTAATTTTATTTTTCTCTTACTCTGCAAAACATATTAATCTTGGACGTGTCACAGTAGATTTATCATCACAGCTTTAACAGGCAAGGTGAGCGAGATAAACCTTCAGTGAAAGCTCACACTGCATGGCACCAGTCACCGGAACTACAGACGTTTCTGTGATTTCAACTCTGGCTATTAATATTATTCTCATCAAAACAAGTTTTGTTTTATTCTGACATGTTTTTGGCTCGGTTAAGGATGGAAGCAGCATCCTCTGTAAATCAAACTGTTGTCGCAAATCACAACTGAGTCTGAGAGGCGTTCAAGCAAAGAAACATAAATTTCAAATTGACTGCAAGGCAAATGCTTGTAAGATTATGCTGTTACTGCCATCTTGTTTACAAAAAGGAACCTACTGAAGAGCTAAAGATAAGGCTATGAAAAAATACAGTGCAAACACTGAAATATATCAAATCACATTTGTACACACAGTCCATCTGCCTGCCTGTGTGTGTGTGTGTGTGTGAGCTGGCCTCTTATCTCCTCTGACAGCCCATGACGGTCTAACAACCCACCCTGGCCTGTCGCCCCAACCTAGAATCCCTGCTGGCTGAACTCTCTCACCTACTCCAGAGCCATCTGTGGATACCGATCACCTGGGTAACAACCTGAGGCAGCAGAGCATGCTGGGAGCAAAGTCTCCTCTGGACACTGGGTAATTCTCTTTGGCGTTTCTGTGTTTCCAAAAAAAACAGGAGCTGTATTTGTGTGGAACTGGTAATTAAAGACCTACTGAGGTTATTAACACCACAATCAGTCACACTTTACTGTCGCTTTGCACAAAATAACCCTAAATTCTGAGCCAGAGCTCATAGACACTGCTGATCAATGCCAGTTGCTCCTCTATTACCTCAGTGCCTACTAGAATTTTCATTTCTAAACAGTTTTACTCCAGTTTCTCAGGCTCTTTCAGACTTTCAAGTCTTCTGCACAATAATTAATTGAGATGGCTGTTGTAAGACCCCCCCCCAATAAAAAGCATCACCACCTGAAGTTCCTGCAGTGTACCTGTACTTTACCTGTGTCAATATCCATCACTAACTGTGTTACTTCTCCCCTCTGTCCTTTCTTCTTTGTTTCACTCTCAGCCTCTCATCCTTTTCTGAGATATTGTCATCTAACTTTGAAGTTGCGTTTGGGTGCTGATAAATCTGTTCTTCTTAATTATTTTCTAGTTTAACCATTTTAATTGTAAAATGAAACAGCACAGACAGACAATTTCTAAATTTTGCTTTTGGAAACTAATTTTGAAATTACCGTCATTTTGATTCTAGAGTCGCTTTCTAGAATTTTTAGGAATTTCGCACACTATCATAAAAAAATGGGCATTTTAACACAGGTTGTGTGTGTGTGTGTCCTTCCTTCCTCTGCCAGATGGAAAGCCAGACAGACCTGGCACGACCTGCAACATCTCCCACTGGCTGCTGGAGAGCAAGCACATGATGAGAAGAAGAGCAGAAGAGAGTGAATGAGAGATAGATAAATAAACGAGAAGAGCAACAGAAGGACTTATGAAGGAGCTCTTCAGTTTTGAAGAGCACTCATTTGTGGCGGCTACCCGCTGTTAGCCCGATCTCAATTTGTTCTCTTCTCTCTTCCTTAGCTTCCTAAATCACAAACTCCCTCTTCAACTCCTAGTCATCTCTTTCATTCACCCCTCTCTCTGTGACTCCTATACTTCTTCTATTCTCTCGGCTCTGACTCTCAGTCCCTTGGTTTTTATGCAGTAATGACATCTTTCTTTAATCTCAAGCAATAGTGCAGATTTGGCGAAAACTTGTAGAAGTCTCCAGTTACCGAGGACAAGGGTGAAAACAAACAGTCTGTGGCAGGAAGCCATGCAGTCAAACAAACACACACACATACACACAAATCTGTGCATTAACAAAGCTAATCTAAACCAAAACAAAACAATAAAACACTGCTATTTCTATGTTTCCCACCCTAAAAGACACAGCTCACTCGGTGTCTCCTAAATCATGAATGCCACAACACACACACGCCTTTGCTTACTTGTGTAGTGCACTGGGTGGCAGCTTGGTCGTCTTCTCCATCTGGCCGTAACAGGATGTCTTGGCTTCGGGGATGTCACCATATTCCTCCAACAGGGCTGCCGCCGCCGACGTTATGATCCCTAGCCCATCACGGACCCTTGCCTCCAGTGGGTAGTCCCAGTCATCATACGACACTGAAATCATTCCTGATGGAAACTCATCAGGCATTAATTCTGGGTTCCCTGTGGTGAGTGATGGCACTATCCAGATGTATCCAAATCCAGTGAGTCCCAGAGAGCGAGCCTCCTCCAGGATGTAAACCGCCTCGTCCTTGGAGCAGTAAAGCAGGACCACTGGAGACTGGACCTTCTTGAGCATGATCTGAGACCGGCTGTCTTCCTCCACTGCATCCAGAGTGATGATATTCTGCAGGTCCCAGCCCACAAAGCTAAAGCAAGGATAATGAGGACAAGAGTGAAATGTTAATACATAACTAATAGACTATTAACTTTGCTCAGGTGCTGGCAAGAGCAGTTATAATTATCCATTATAATTAATATCATTGTTAAGTGCGACATGAATGCTAATAGGTGTAAAGTGCTTATTGCCAGGGGAAACATATTAAGGCTAAACTAGAATGCAAATGCTGAAGCTGGTTCTGTATAATGAGACTCAGCAGGTTCCAGCCCACACAACTACAGGACAAAGAGACACAAGCACGGTTCTGTGTAGACGCTCCCATGCACTGCCCGTGGTCGGTGTGCTAATCGATGACAAACCAGTGCTGTTGTCAATGCAGAAGCCAACTACACCTTTTGCACAAAAAATAGGCTCATTAATGTTGCATCGCACCTGCACAACTATGTGGCTGAAGGCAGATGTTTTCTAAGGATATTTTGCCCTATGGAGTGTTGAAAGTGTGATGTTCAGAGCGACTGTGAAGGAAAACACACTGGGATAATTCCAAGGTAAAATGTAGTTCCTTAGCCAGATAGCTAAAGTGGGAAGTGAGAAGCAGCATGTGCTCATTAAACAGATAATGCGTTGGTATAATATCTTTTTCATCCATTGGGACTGGCTGCTCTTTTTCACAATGTCCAGAGTGATAACATTCAGCGGGTCCCAGTATGCCACGCTAAAGAGCAGCAGAATCAGAGGAAATGGCAGTTAGGTTAGTAATTAATGAACATGGTGAGTCAAGGAGTGACTGAACTGGTGTCAGGATTACAGGCAGAGTGAGGCACACACACACACACACACACACACAAAGTGACTTTTTGTTGTACTGAAAGTAGCAGTTTCAGCTCTCAGAGATGAACCAGATTTGCAGCCTGGAAAAGTACTTGCTGTCTTCTTGCTATCCAAAGTGATGATGGTCTACAAGTCCCAGATGAAAAAAAACTAGTAAAGAGATCCAATGATGCACAGAGACACACACTCACAAAGGAGGAGAGATGACAGAAAGATAACAATTATGGAAGGATGCACAGTAATACTGCCATGTCCAGAAAACGTTTGCACAGAAATGTGAGAACGCCACTGCTAATACCGACTGTACAAAGTCAACACTCCAAAAAAAAAAACACACCTACATAATTAAACAGTTGTGGATACAGATTTTTCCCTCAGCACACACTGTATGTTGAGCATGCACACATATAAGTAGAGATGTCTCCACCATTCCTGTACAAAACCCAGAAAAGACTGGTGGTTCAGGCGCTGTCCCATCTATCTGCCGACAGACAGACCACCTACCTGCCTGTGCTCATCTCCAGCCACCCACAAAATATATTCTGTCATTCTCACATTATTTATCTGGGCCTGTACTTTGTGTAGCCTATTGCACACACTGATACGTTCCCATGGTCTGACTGGTCCAATTTTCCTTTTGTGAATGATGGAAGCTCACTGGTATTAAAACTGTCTGCCCCATGACTAAGTGTGAACCAGGTGAATGCTGACATGGGAAATGGACAACAGGTAAGCGCAGGTAACTGGGTTTATTAATAAATAGCCGGCAGTGTACCAGCTGATCAGTCTCTAGCTGTATCCACAATTAGTACCAAATTATATGGTTCATTCTAGGAAATTACTTGGAAATAAACTGGAATTACAGATCTGTAAAGTAAAGTGTTACCCAGTTTTCCATGTTGACTATTGCTATCCAGTATAATAATTATCAGTTACTCAATCTACATTTAAGAAGAGGAGAATATGGGATCAGTGCCTACCTGTTGTCCACAGTCGTTTTCAGGATGTTGATGAAGTCCTGGTATCCAGGGAACTTCGATGTGACGATGGAGAAGACGTGCCAGTCGTACTCCTCCATAATGTTCAGCAACAGCAGAGCCTCCTGCTGGATGGAGGCACCGAACTGAAAGAATGTCGACTTCTCATCCTGAGAAAAGAGAACGGGAGAAAGAGACGGAGAAAGGGAGAGAAGGGAGACGAAGGAGGATAAAGGGACAGGGAGAAGAGGAGTTTAACTTAGTTTACTCTCTTTATTAGTTCTCTAGCTAATTAAAATTGCATCTCAGAAATATCAATCAGCAAAAGAGCATTTAAAATTTGGCACATCTCTCACTCACAGACACACACACACATAGAGATTGAGAGTAATAAGCTTCTCGTGGAGGAAATATATGGATGAGGGCCTCAGAACAATTCAATTAAGCCCAAATTGGATTGGTGCGGTACAGGCGGGCAGCAGAACTCTGTGGGCCTGGTTCTGGGAGAACGAGGGTTAGATTCACTCTGAGTCACTCGTATCCACTCCATTAAACCTGACTCTGAATCATCTGCAACTTAATTCAGCCAAAGTGAGACACGGACTTGGACAGAGCAGACAAGTGTGATAATAGGTGGATAACTTGGCTGTATTCATTTATGTTAGACACTTGGCTTCAAAGGATTTTAGTGGTGTGGACAAATAAATGAAGTAAAGTGAGATTAAAATAGTGAATAAGAAAAGAGCTTGTCTTTGGTTGTTTGGTGCATGATTTGTTTTGTGTGTGTACGTCTGGGTGGCTTTCAGTTACCGTGAAATATCAGAGTTCACACATGGCTTATCTTGACACTGTGGCACTGTAATTACTGTATGATAGTCTTGTGTGTTAGTGTCTGTGTGCACGTCTTCTCTGTGTGTGTGAAACTACGACCTGACAGCTAGATGTAAAAAACACAAGGGCTAAGAGACACAGAAGAAGAGGCTGGAACAAGAGATGAGAGAAGTGAACAAAAGAGATTCTGTCACTTTGTCAGGTCCCACCCACTTTCGAAATGAACAAGTAAACTACACACACTTACACACAACAACACACATAAATGGAGTGGTTACACTACTGGCCATATGACTGCAACATCAACGGCTCGGTTTCAGCCGGGGACCTTTGCAGCATGGCTTAGCCTCTCTCTTTTCTCCAACTCCCCATGCTTCATCCACAGTGGGACTTAACTTTATTACAGAGGGCTGGTATGAGTAATGACGCCTCAATCTCCTCTGGTGCAAAAGTCGAGTTGAAAACATCTGGAAAATGTAGCTACATTCACAGGCTTAATATTCGACTGGTGCAGCACATCCACAGTCTTCGCTGCAAATATCACTTCAATCATCATCTCTACTCCTCACTTTGCATTTAAATTGGCGCTGCCTCGAGCATCCACCTGTGCGCTCCAATTATCATCTGCCATGAGCTGACTGACTGAGTGTAGTCTGCTTCTTTGAGGAACCTGTGGAAATGTCAGCCAAAAACATAAGACACACTTACGCCCGCTGATTCAGAAAGAATCGCACGTTGACACATATTAGTCTATGAAGATAAAATTTCCTGCATCAGATCCATGTGAAACATGACTCTGTTGTATAATTGACAAAAAACTGAAATGGCAGTTATACCAGAGCTTTGTAAAAAAAACAATACTGAAGAACAGGAAGGCATATTGTGGAATATCACAGTGAGCGATGAAATTGAACTGGTGTAGTCACTTACACACCAGTGGTCTACTGGTCTGTTGGACTATTACTGTCCTGCTTTTTTCCTGAGTTACATTTCTCACACAGAAACACTGGAGACTAGGAGGAAGAGGGCACTGGAGGGGTGAGTGTTAATTTGTCACTACATTGCATTTCCTTTTTGACTGTTTGGACAGACTCTAAATAATTTGCTATTTGCATTACTTGTGCATGCATGAGTGTGCAGCACTTCCCCCGCCCATTTCAAAGCTGCTGTTTACTGATAGTACTGGACCTGTGTGTGAGGGTGGCATATTCTCTTCAGAGGTGTGTGTGTGTGTGTGTGTGTGTTTTAAGGGCAGAAACTGCAGCAGTGCTTGAGCATGGTGGAACAGGAGGAAGGGTCCTGCTATAAGACATGTTGCAGCGCCCCAATACTCCCAACACGGTGCACTGTGACCAGCAGGGCCACAAAAAGCATCGACCAGTGACAGAGCACAGAGAATAAATTGGTGGCCATGTGTGTAACTTTGTGACATTTCATTCTGGAAAAGGCTTATTAGGTTTTATTTTATGTACATATGGGGTTTTCACTAGTCAGTGACAATCAGTTATGCAAAGGTAATTTAGCCACAGCTAACACGGTTATATAATCTCTAAAGAATTCTGTTTCAGCAGTATTTTGCAGTTTGTGTATGTGTGTGTGCTTGTACAAATAAGTCTTTGCCAGCTTGTGTCTGTCTGAAACGATTTAAGAGGAGGAGGCCAAACTCTACTACAGGAGAAAACAAAATTTCCTCCTTTTACCAAAATAATTGCCCTTTTTTGGTCTCACCTGTCATTCACGGTGCTTCCCCTCTTGCACTGTTTGTCATGTTCACAGTCTCAAATTTCCCACTCTGTTGCATACACACACACAAAGGCAATGATGTAAACCCCCACACACAAACATGCACCTGTCCCGTAGGGCAGGACAGCGAGTCGAAGTTGAGAAAGAGGGGAGTTATAAATAGTAGTCCTCATATCCTGTGCTGCTGATAGCATCACGCACTGTCTGCTCTGATGACACACACACATGTGTGCGTAAAAAAAGAGAAGCAAATCACACACATGAACAGCTGAGTGGGGAACTGTGTGCCGTTTGTGAGGTACATAAAGGCCTGATAATACCCGCATACATTTGTCATATATGCCATCTACATCCACATTCTGTCTGCCTCAGATGCTGTGTTAACTGCTGGGTTTAACAGCTCTGCCATGTCCACCGGAGGAGGAACACAACTGATATGACAAAAAAACCTCAGTGACCAGTTTCTAAATTTAGACAGACAGGCATAAAAATAGCTGCAGCAAAACAAAAGAGCTAGAAATGTCAGTGGAAACAAGCTGAGCAGGCAGCCCTCACTACATAAACCACAAGGGGAACAGTCACTACATCCAGCAGCATAAAAAAAATATTAAAAATTTCATCAGCTGAATGATAAAGTGATTGCTGTATAAAATCATCAGAGTCTGCTGTGATTAGACTGAGGCTTGTTGTAGGCCAGTATTGTGTCATCATTAAAGTAGCAGCAGTGCAGCCAGAGAAAGCAAAACTCATCAAAAACAGGGTTTTGTTTACTCATGACCATTTTTTTGGCTGTAGAAAAAAAATGTCAATTAAATTTCAAATAGGTATTTTCTGCCACTTGTGATGACCAAAATGCACAGTTCCCCAGTGTTTGGATCCTTGGAGCCAAAATGACTCTATGATATATTATAATTATAATTAATATCTAATATGAGATCAGATTCTTATCATATAGATATCATATGTCCCAAGGGGTGACATCATATATCATATAGAATATACTGGTTGTGGCTTTGCAGCCTGGCCATGCTGTAATATTTAAAATTACCTTCTAAAAATCTGTGGTAAATGTTTTTATTTTTCAGTTTGACAGGTCTACAATATCTCTATGAGAACAGGGCTGGGTTGGTGCTGTATCAGATAGACCAGTGCCAAACAGATCCACTGAGTGTAGAAAATGCATGCACAAACTCCAAATGTACAAACAGTGTCAACTTATAGGCTGGCACCATTCGCTTCTGCCTCCCAGTGTGTATTGTAATGAAAAACAACAGTATAAGAAGAGAAATGCCAATTAGATGAGCAGAAATGTTGCTGCTTGGTGAGTTGAGTGCATCCCAAACCAAGGACATGACCAATATTCAGATCTTTTCCAGTGTATTTTTCTGTAATAT